ATATGCCTGAATTTGAATGGCTAGAATGAATCCTATTTGACATCAGTTTCCTTGAAAGTATTAACAAAAATGTTGCCCAATTACCAGCTTAGGAAGAAGTTGCTTTAGCTTGACAACACTTCCATAATGTTAGTGCAATCACCTCATGATTGTAGTCCTTAGAAAGAATGTACATGCAACAAGAATCTCAAATGATCACACGGGTTAAAAAAAGAAATTCCTGTGAGTATTACCTTCTTCGATAGACAAAGTCATTGTACTCTGGAAAGCAATATTGTTTAGGTCAATAATCAACTTCTTTGTTCATTTTAGATCCAGAAATCATTGAGCGCAACAATCAGCAGTGCTTACTATTAGCCTATGCACGGAATACACTGTTGAACATAGATGTTTTCAAAGATAATATGCCAGCAAACCATGATATCGACACGAAAAAACCTAGTCGACTCTACATCATTTTGTTGTCTTTATCTTTAGGTATCATCATTTTCTTCACAAGTTTTAGTCAACAAACACGCACTATCACAGTTCTTTCGCCATCTCAAACAACATTTTCGTACCTGCAAGATCAACAAAAGTCAAGTCTCTCATGTTTATGTTCACAGGCCTCTATTCAACATGATGTATTCCTTTCGATTTCACCTCGTTTACATCAGGTATGTTCTAGCGATTTCGTTGCAGAACAATGGTGGGGTTATTTGTGGGGGCTAGATGATGTGAGCAGTTTTCGCGATCTTCAACTTCTTAGCATTCAGTTTCGTGTTCTTGCATCACTATGTTCATTAGCACAGCAGTCTATCGACAGTGACAAAAGTGCATTCTTTACCAATAAATTAGTCACTCTAGAATTAATCTCATTCAGCTCATTTCAAGCTCAAATTGATTCTCTTACAGCTACATTTATTACTCAAACACCAGACAAATTTCGCCGTACTCAATCGTTCATTTATGAAACATTTCGTGCAAACCAGCTGCTGGTTGTACCTGAAACAAATTGGCAGTTAGCTTTCACAACTGCGGCGGATAATTACGTTGTTGCCACTGTGCCACGTAATTCATTTGGGAATAATTACTCATGTATTACATCATTAGATAGCTTCTCACGACCATTGTATATTGATGGCAATTATAACACCACAGTATTACCTGGTGTGGTGGCTAGTTGTTTACCAATCGATGGTATTCGTCTGTCTACTCTAGAATGTTTCTTTGATCCAAAGTGTATTCTTAACTTGACAAGCATTGCATCAAGACGCACTACTACTATTTGGATTGCCAACCCACTCAATGCTTCAACACCCAGTAATTATTCTTCGAACACTCTCATAGGCAACCTCGTTGATAGTTTATTCGTAGAAGATTGGGGAATTGTCAGTAATTATTCAAGCTACTTTGCTTCGTGTGCTCCATATTCGTGTTCATACCATTATATTGATCACAATACAATACTCTATATAATCACCACTGTGCTTGGACTGTATGGTGGTCTGGTAGTGATTCTTCATTTTATTGTATGGCGTGGATGGCGTATGTATCGAAAGATCATGGGGTGGATACAAATCGCTACTCGCTCAACATCAACACAAGTTGTTCCGTTTCAGCCAACCATCCATATCGAGTGAAAACTAAATCATGACTTTTAAAAACAGAACATTTATTGTATTGCTTCTTGTCTCATCATTTCATATTTAATCAATGTTGCTTCTTGTCTCATCATTTTTTATTTAATCAATAAATAAATGTTATAAAGCTCAAATCGATTTCCTACTATTTGCCTACCTGACTGAAGTAATCAAAACAGAAAAAAGAACGTGAATAAAGGTGAAGAATCACCTTGATTCCAACATTGTTAGACCGTTAGAATCACGACATTAGCTATGATGAAGAGCTACCGGTACTGTTCGAATTTTTACACCTACTTCTGTCTCTCGAGTACAGTATTGTATATATGCGCTCGAAATGTTCTCTTGATATAGAACAGCAGGGAATGGAAATAGCTACAAACACATTAGTGTATGAATTGATGTAGTTATATGTACATTAACTTAAAGTGGTCTGATATGGGTGTGAGTGCGCAAGCGAATGTTGACAAGGAACAGCTTATTATCCATGCCGACAATCTCATCCATTCGCCTCCACAGACAACCACTAAATCCACACCCTATCTAAGTCATATAGACTCATATTGCTAATTGAGTATGTTATATAAAGTTGTTCATTATCATGTTTAATACATAAATCATAGTTCTGACTGCATATAAAAGTACAATATATGTTATTGTTTTTAAAGCTTTCTAGTTTTATTAAAGTAAACATTAGTTTATTCTCCATATAAGACATGATCATATCGTGTTAACACTTATACAACCGGATCAATAATATGTCACTCAAGCAGTTATAATTCGTTCCAGAAAGAAAAAAAAAGAAAAGAATAATGTTTAGAATAACAACAAACAGAGAGTGTCAATATACAATCAATTGTTTATTCTTGTTTATCTTCTTTTTCCTAAAAATAAATTCAAATTCTAAATTATTTTCTATTTCTCTCATAAATTTAATCTTACTTCAAGATCATCTTCTTCATCATTTGTTGTTGCAGCCTAGTAAAGAAAAATAGATTAAATCATTTTAATCATCTTACTAAGTAGTATTGAAGAGAATTGACAAATATATCATCTTTTATAACTTCACCAAATTCATCATTACTACCTTCGCCATTTGTATCTGTAAACCATGATATAAATGCTCCATGATCATTATTATTATTTTCTGTATCATGTGAGCATTTACGTATTTCACCGGCGCTTTTCTTACTACTACTACTTGTTGATTGACCATTTTTTGCTTCCTATATACAAAAATGAAAAAGAAAAGGAATTGAGTCTATTTCATTTATTTTAAAAATAGTTTAACAAACATTTTTTCATCGAATTGCTGTTGATTTACATGTTGTTTCACTTGATTCAGTTACACTGAATTCTTTTACAATAACATC